CATCACTGCTCTGGTGGGGGAGTCAACAATATAATAATGTCAAGCGTACAGCTAGAGCAGAAATAGATGTAGATCACTATAAAGACAACTACTGGTATCGCATGGCTGAAATAACGGCTCAGGCAAACAATATGTCAGATTGTTATGTTTGTGCATTTGTTCCTCATCATTCAAATTCAAATCCTTATATAACACCACATCCAGTCTCAGCTTTAACAACTATATGCACTATGGCTTTTTATACCTTACATTCAATTGGCATGAACTACTCTAAATATGTGGAATGGCTGCCAAATTGCACTACTCTTTCAATTCAAAAGGTAGCAGATTGGAGAGTTCCATTGAACTTTTCTTTAAGTACAAATATGACTAATGAGAAAGGTGTGACTGTGGGTCGATTTCCAGCCAATTCTCCTCTGTGTCTGAGTAGGAAATGCAATGTGCCGGGGCCCTGGGAGGATGCTAACCAATATGTAGGAACATCCACCTGTGATGATGTTCTGCCTATTGCCACATATAACCAACAAACCTCTGAGATACATCACAGATTATACTTCACTACTACTCCGACCGCACGGGAGTTCCCAGTGATTAATTTCACTAAAGTGGGTGAGGTCAGTGGAGTGGCCAACTGGCACTCATACCCAGCTTTTTTGGTGGAGGTCCCGGGGTTTTGGGGCTATCCATGCCCGTCAAACCAGGTGTGGGTTTGTGGAGATAAAGTGTATCTGTGGATTCCAGAGAGATGGTGTGGAACTTGTCATCTGGCCACCCTAGGTCCGGCCTCCTATATCATTTCAAGTGATAACTTGACACAGCACTTGGGCCAGAGGCAGAAAAGGGCTGCTGCCACAGCGGCCAGAAGCCCACCTTTAATCTCAGATGTAAGAGGAGTGTTCATGACAGCCCTTCCCATGTATGGAGTTGCATATTTAAGTCATAGGATGAATGATATTGCATGGAATTTGGAGAATTTGACTAATATTGTCATGGACCTCACTGAACAAATTAGGGGAGATTCAGAGAAAGAGGCTATGCGTCAAATGATCATGCAGAATCGAGTGGCATTAGATTTTGTTTTATCTGAAACTGGTGGTGTGTGTCAGTTAATTAAGGATCATTGTTGTACGTTCATTCCATCATCCAACTCAAATTATTCACTAATTTTGGATCGACTAAAAAGTTTTAAAACTGAGATGCTAAGTGAGCGAGACAATGACAACATGAATTGGGACTTATTGTCATGGTTTTCTACTGGAGCATGGTGGCAACTGATATTGAAAATAGCGACACCTGCAATAATGATTTTGGTTTTATTTTGCATATTTGTCACTTGTTTGTTGCCATGTGCGAAGTCTTTAACCAACAGGATGATAAACACTGCAGTTGCAGACACATTGTTTTCGGATCAATGTCAAGCGTTGTTAGCTCACACAAATGTAGATGATAATTTTGATATTTCTGTGTAAGTTTGTTATGAAGGTATTGCAGAAAACTGAGAAGAGATGTAATGCTGGATGTTTAAAACTTTACATTTATATATTATGAATAGGGGGGAATTATGTCAATGGAGTATGTTATTGTGTTATTATCATATTAATAAATGTAACGTTTAGACTAGTGTGGATCTAAAAACTAGTAGTATTGATCCAGGCAGAGGGCAAGAATGTGCGGAGTCAAACCCCCAGCTATTATACACAGGAAGTTAAATTAAGAGGACCAGAAAACATCTGTTATAGCCTCAGGCTTACTTTGAGAGGGGCTACTGTGTGTTTTGGAGAAAGGAGCTATTGTGTTCACCTAAGGATGGTGAGACATGTGTTTTCAATTATCATGTCATGTGACTGTGTGCTTTTCATCGATAGCCTGTCTTGAAACAGGGTCTTTTGCTTTGGGTGTGCCAGGGAGCAGGGCCCAGACTGATCAAGCAGTCTGCCACTTGTCTGTATCTTATATTCTGTCTTTTTATATATTAAACCCTTTTTTATATATCTAAGCAGAATTTGTGGTCCATTTTTCATCGAAGGAGAAACCGTGGCTGAACCAGCGTTAACAATATACAATCCTGTTCTCCACCTGTTTAAAGCTAAATATAGTTTCCATCTGCATCCCCTGGTTACAGAGAAATGAATTACAATATACGATCTGGAAGTGCATCCATCTGTTCTCAATCCATCACACAAAACGTTACCATTCACTACATTTCATACCTTCTGCATCAGCTACATTCACCTTTCCTATGAGTACCTATATTTACCACTATATTTTTTATTGTCAATGGTAGACGATGGTGAACATAGATTCACACAATACATGTGATATTATACAGGAAGAATCAGCAGCTGCCAAAGTGCCTGCAGCCTGTTTGGCCTTGAGATAACCAAGACCACAGTTGCCTCAAAGTGTTATAAAATATCCAAAACACATGAGATTAAACACATTCCTCGGTCGGTGCTGATAGGTTTGGCCACTTTTTCATTTCACAGGTAAAAATATTGCATCTAGTTTGATTTTCGGATCCATGGGAGTCAAAAACAAACATGGTCTATTTGAGAGAAGGAGAGAGAAACCTGAAGTTATACAATGTTATATTTAAGTTTGACTAAAGTGTATCAGCTGTACATTTATACTTGTCTTTAGATGTCTATTCTTGCTTGGATTGAACCATATCTGTACTAAAGCTAAAGAAGGCTAAGTACGTATTGAGAAAAGATCCATGTTTTTGATGAATTATTAGTAATTAATTTTTTGTGAGCACGGCATCATAGTTGCACTGACTCCCATTCATTTAAAAGACGGAATGAAGTTTGTGGACGGGAAAAGGTCCGAGGGCCACATAGAAACGGGATACGGGCCGCATGTGGTCCCGGCGCCGCACTTAGTCTGATTTATTTTAAACCTGCAGAACACAATTTCAGACGTCTTTACTAATACAGGTTAGAAAAGGGGTTGGATGAAGCAGATGATTCATCCCAAGCCCTCTCACTATAAAAATACACAGAATACAACGCAATTAAAGGTATATAGCAGGATATTCACACATTTTAGGAAATAACCCTCTCTTTCCACTTTTGAACTGAACTCTCTGGTCTTATTTGACGAGCACGTATCACCAGAATGATTGACAATTGGCAGGACCAATAGTAATGATGATCCACCCGGAAGTAGAAAATCCTCTTTCATACTGTATACCTTTAACAGAATTTGATGCATTGCAGTACGTACAGTAATAAACAATACCCTACCATGGGGTATTAGACACACAAAACACACACTGGCCAAGACACTCTCTGACCCTACCCCTCTCTTCCACCCCCTGCTCTATGCTGATGTATTTACTAAGGGGTTAACTGCGACTAATCGAATCCAATAGCAACATAACCGATGCGGCTCTCTCTCAGCGAGTCTCCCGCCCGACGGTGAGAACCCTAACTCTGCCAAAAAAGCACTACCACTGAGTAAAAGTGATTTAGCGTTTGCTGCTGCGCCTGGCATGATTCGAAATAATGATTTTCCGCAGACATCTGGGTTGACTGGCGGTTTATTAGGCCACATGGCGTTCGAACAGGCAACAAGCAGGAATTTGGGTTACATCCGTTTTGGAGCGAGGTGGATATGCCCGCGGGGAGGGTTATTTTTGATAAGCCGCGTGTTCTAGTGATGAAGGGAAAGTTGTGTCGGGACGACTTTGAGAGTGACTGTTTCGTTGTTGTGTTTGTAGAAAAGTAAGACAGCGCCCAGAGGACACGCGTGGCAGAACAAGGGCAGCCAGATAAAGCGTGTGTCCAAACAAACTCGCGGCGGTGAATCATCGGCCGTCAGGTATCGCTGCATCAGACTGGAAAAGCCAGCGCTCGGCTTTCATGTGTCATCTTGACTCTGAGGTTCCGCTGTGCAGCCTTTGTCATCTCGAGGCAAAGGGCAAAGAAAGGCAAATGTTGGTTTTAAATTGCATCCAAAACCTTTCAAATGTGCGTGTGATGAACCAGGGCTGGCACACGTTCATAGAGTCAGCATAAATAATAGTCATTGGAATAAGTCACTCGGTTAGTAATTGTAATTGATTGATTTTTTAACCAATTCTGGATCAAAACATGGTAAAACCCATAGAAGGGATTCTAATAGACAGATCTATAATTGGAGAATGTCATAGAATAGTTTGGAAGCATTTCAAATAAACGTGGGGGTGCTCTTTAAAAAAATATATTTTCACATAGAACACATAATCTTCCATCCATCCATCCATCCATTTTCTTCCCCTTAATCCATTTCTGGGTCGGGGGGGTGGCAGTCAGAGCTGCACCCAGTCACAGAGCACCAGCCCCCCACTGATCCTCCTGCAGGTGGTGAGTCCACAGGAGCTGAGATCTTTCAGTGGGAGCTTCAGGCAAAGTGGGGTTAAGTGTCTTGCCCAAGGACACAACGACAGCAGTCATCAGTGGGAGTCGTGAAGTAGGTCTTATGGTGGACTTGAACCCACGACCTTCAGGCCCAAAGGCCAATGCTCTACCAACTGAGCTACTGTCGCCCCTTTTTTTTCAAATAGAAAATATACAGACAAGAAATAAAAGCTTGAAACACATTAGGTTGAGTTTTGTTACTTAGAAGAAGTTGTCGAGCATTTTAGTAATCGATGAATCCCTTTTGGAACCTTCCAGACTTTATTTTCCTGCACAATACTTATGTTTACATATAAATATATATAAACAGACAAATAAAACTTGCACTTTTACCATGCAGAGAAGGTTTTTTTCTTTACTCAGATTATTCTTATCCTGACGGAATGAAGTAAAAATGTGTTAACTAAATTGTTAACACTAGAACTCCCAGAGCAGTTGTGTTAGAACAAGTCAAAAGGGAAGAACGGAATCTATCTCGAGGTCGGCTTTCTCTTCTTCCACAGCCAACTTCCAGGTTCGAACAGTGGACTGATGTGATTACTGCATCGACAGGCGTCAGACACACGGACCTGTGTATGTAACGTGAGTATGAGTGCTCACCAGCAGTTTCCCAGCAGGCCTTGCAGGATGTCCGAGGGCCGCGGCGTCCTGAACACCGACCACTTGACGCCGCGGTCCTTGAAGTTGCTGCAGTTGATCTCGTGCGGACGGAGCCACTTCTTGATGCGCTGCTGGACGCTGTCGCCGTCGGGGAACCCCACCGAGCGCGGGCCGGGGGGGAAACTGTCGTCCACGAAATTGACAGAGTTCTGATTGGAAGAGGGAGGGGGAGAGAGGGGGAGAGGGGGGGAGAGGGGGGGAGAGAGCGAGGGCAAGGCAAGTTTAGTTGCATAGCACAGTTCTTACACAATTTTTGCCGCATGAATCTTAAACGCTGCCTCCCCATGTTTAGTCCTGACTATGGGTACCAGCAGGAGGCCAGTCCCTGTGCTCCTCAGAGTCCTCCTTGGTTCATATGGCTCTAACATGTCACAGATGTACTTTGGTGCGAGACCATGGAGAGACTTGTAACAAACAGAGCTGCTTCAAAGTCTATTTTCTGAGCCACAGGAGCCAGTGCAGAGACCTGAGAACTGGACTAATGTGATGGTACTTCCTGGTTCTAGTCAGGACTCAAGCTACGGTGTTTTGAACATACTGCAGCTGTGAAAAGGTTTAGGTTTCTGCTTTGAAGTGTGTCGGGATATTTAGACAAACAAGGAGAATCAAATCCTCTCTAATTACTGATGCGCCTAAGAATGGCTCATAGTGCTCATCATAGTATGGCATGTCCGAGGCGGGGGGTCCGGAGCACACCAGAGCTGCCGATACAGAGTCCAGATGCTAACGCTAAGAGCTTGTGAAGCACGTACTCTTCACAACACGCTCCCTGCTGCGCGTTTAGCATTGAACGCGAACCATTTGGAAAGTAGTGTGACATTGATGCGCTACTGTATGTGTGAGACTCACGCAGACATCTAATCTGGACACACTATCTGCCCTTTGAAAACTCTGCGGCACATGCAGAAGCTCCCATTACCAGCGTGCAGTGTCACAGACGCCTCCACAAAAGCGGTTTAGTAGTGCTTCATAAATACATGGGACCAGAGGGGAGTTTTGGCGAGGGACATGGTCTTTTTCAATTCCATGTTAAAAACAGTTCTGTTAGCTGTGCATACAACCGAAGAATTTAATCTTAAAACGCTTGATTTATATCTATTCTATCTATATCTATATTTGGTTGGATATTATTTTCTAGTAGGTTTGGATTCAACCACAACCGGGCCACAGTTTTTTTGATAAAAATGAATCTTGGGCCTAAAGTTTACAAACATAAGAAGCTTTCAAATGAGGTATAACATGCCATCATCTTCCTTTACCATCAATGCTGCAAGTTAATGTAATAATAAAAATTGCAATAATTTCAGGGGCCACTAATAATGGTCTTGTGGGCCGGATTTGGCCCATGGGCCTGAGTTTGACATGCTCCAATACAAGCCTTGTTTGTTTGCCGGTTTCCCTCTTGTGTTGCTGCTTTCGCAAAGGTACAAAACGGAACAATACAAAAAGCTATTGCAGGAATTCTGTAAACCGGTCTTGCGTCTCCAAACTAATAACAACCTAATTAATCGATTATGTGTTATCCAGTCCGAGCATGAATCGAGTCAAAGCAGCCGTTTCATGAGTATAAGTGGCGCTACAAACTTGAAAGAGATATTTGAACAATGGCCGTAGCCGTGTAAGGTGCTCCAATGGATTTCATAGGACGGCGTTATCAAGATGTGAGGGGAGTGCACTGGAGGGCACGAGTGAGAACGAGGAGTGTGCTTCTCTCGTTTCGGCGACCTGGAAAAGGGTTTGATGTTTGCGGGCCTCTGCCGGAGCATATCACTGCAGCCAATTGATTAAACGTCTTCCTCCGCGATCCAGTTTGGGGCAAAAATCATTTCAAAGCTGCTCCTTTTAATTCAGTGGCTCTGTGCGTGCCCTATGAACCGGCTTATACTCCGGGCTAGAGAACCAGAGTGGATTTACTGCAGCTGGGATGGGGCGGGGGGTGTACGCACAAACTACACCGCAACGTTACAGATGGATCTCAGAAGTAGGTTGAAAGATCGTCACAGAGATAATTATTATTTTCAGGTTTTGATACGGTCAGAGGCAGGCAGAAAGCTTGTAATTCAGTGATGGCTCAATGCACGGGAGGAGAAGCAGCAATGAGGGGATCACCAAATAAAAATTAGCGATAGGCCGAAATATTTGTGGCTTGAATGTCTGATGGGCCGTTCATTCACAGTCACTTTTAACTCTTTAAAATTCTCTCTTTAATGTTCACGCCTTGAACAAAGCAATGTCATATTTTCTTTTTTGGATTTTTTAAGCTGTAGAGTTGAGTATAAGCTGCAGGTTTTCATGTTGAAATGTTGATATCACAAACTGAAATGGTCACATGATTTAATGATGAGGTGTTTAACAGTTTAACCCTTAGCGTCCATCACTCATTCACAATTTTTGACAGTAATGAGTGTCCTATAGCAACTAAAACTTGGAATTAAAATATTAAATCCATAAACTCTGCTCTGACAACTCCACCACAATAAAAATACACATATTAGCTGCTAAAAGCCTCAGGGATCAAATAACCAGAACAAAGTAGCGGCATCCAGTGCAGAAATTACAGTATTTTTAACAGTGTATTCATTTTATTTGAATATAGGTTGGATAGCTATGGTTTGGTAGTTTTTTTTGAGTCACGGTTAAGCTTGGATTGAAACAGAACTGGACCAAAAGTCTAAGTTATTTTCTATTTTATTCTTTGTTATGAATTTCCTTTTAGGTTTGAGTTGATTGTTCAGCGTAAAACAAAGTAAATGATTGTTTTCCTGAGAGAATAAGCTTCATGTCCCACTCCAGACATCCTTAATGTTTGTGGGACACTTTGAATAACTCCCATTTGTGTTGAGAAAAACGTTTATCATAATAACGTGTCACTTCTTGCAGATTGCGTTTATCATCTTCAAAAGTGGGACCAGAGCCACGGCTTTCAGATGGTGCTTTGAAATGTTAATATGACGTATCAAAAATATATAGCTTCCTTCCGCCTGGAGGTTTTTGCACATGGCGTGTGGATAGAGCCGTGTGCCGTTTGATGCGCTACAGTAAGTCCACTTGGGGCGAACCTCATCGCTGTTGCTTTCTCTGGACACCGGCCAACAAACAACGCTCGGGTTTCCAATTCAGGAAAAAGAAAAACCTCCAGCTCCAGGAGTGTACACGGCACTGGCAGCTGCACAAGTGCTTAGCCTGTGCATTTCAACGGCCACATGCTACAGGCAAACTATCGATCCCCTGAAGTCCGCTAACAGAGACGTACTGAGCTGGCACCAACAGTTCCACACTTATTATGGAGCAGCATCGAGGGCATCTCAGAGGAGGCCGCCATGTGCTCGAGCTGGCATGGACCTGGACTGTGTTCCATGTGGGCAATATTTATTTACTCTATGCTGCTCTTTCTGTTGTCACCACTGGATGGCGCTGTGGCTTGGGTGGAGCGCATCATTACACCTGCTTTTGGATAATTATCTCACTTTTGTTATGAGTTTAGAGGGTAACAGTTTAGGTGGAGGAGCTTTTACCGTTTTCCACCGTTTTAGCTGTTTTTCAAAGAACATTCATTGTCTCCGTGTTTTCACAAGTTAAAAAAAAGTTATTTATATAGCGCCCAAAGTCACCCAAATATGTTCAGAGTTCAGATATTTTTACATTCTCTTCACAAACGGTGATGACGGAAGCGAGATGCCCTGGCACACTGGCGCATCAAAGCCCCAACCAACGTCATCCACTCACTCATTACTCGATAACTCATAGCGACACAGACATGGGGAGAACATGCAAACTACACTCAGAAAGGCGTTTCGAACCCAGGACTTTCTTGCTGAGAAGCGAGAGCGCTAACCACTGAGCCACTGTGTCGCAGTGTCAGTGGGTCAATATCCACCACAACACAAGCGCTTACAATGAACACTGTATAAAATATGTTATGCATGTTTGTGTCTTCAGCTCCTATTCAAACAAATGGAAAACGTTTGACACAAAGAATTCTAGTTTGTCTGAAAGCAAGAGAAAGGGGTTCAAGGAAAATACAGTTCTCTTAGTTCTGAAAACCAAAGAACCGAGGAATGAAGCAAAACAGAAAACGTAATGCTGTCAGGTGAGTTATGAGTTATGAGTTAATATGTATTTGCATCTAAACAAAAGAATTTACTCTCGTTAAAAATTATTATTATAACAATTTCAAAAGCAGCAGAATAATCCAATATATTTTACACAAGAAATGGTTCGTTGGACAAAACAGTAGTCCTAATACCTGATGATATTATTTCTGATGTATATTCTGCTCATATTCATATTCTTACATTTTTTTTTATTTATTTATTTATTTATTTAAGTAGGGACAGTACATATTAATGAACATATAAAATATGTAAATATGTCAGATTTTAGCCATAGGCTACATTCTCCACTGCTTAGTGCAATATTTCTGAACCCAGTGCAATTATATTATTTTATTTTATTTTATTCTTATTTTAATTTTATTGTCTATTATCCTAAATAATAGACTCAATTTGATGTGTGCAATCTGAAGCCTCTTATTTCCTTCTTTCTCTGCTGTAACGAGCGCAACGTTGACAATGAAATTTCTCCACTGTGAGACAAATAAAGGAATATCTTATCTCATCTTACCTTATCTTATCCTACGCAAACTAATCTGGTCCCATGTCCCTCAGAGGTTTATCATCTGAACTCTTGTATTGGGACATGGGAACAACAACGTGCTTAGTGTTGAGTAGCAGCTTTGTATAAGAAAGAATATCGTTAACTTCGTCCTCTGCCCTTCAAGTCGCTGACCCCTGAGAGCTCACGGCCGCAGATGATGCACTTCCTGATTATGGGCACCATAGGGAAGCAAATCATCACTCTCAAGCCTCTGCTGCCTCTGCTGCGGCTGCCTCTGCTGCTGCTGCCTCTGCCTCTGCTGCTGCTGCCTCTGCTGCTGCTGCCTCTGCTGCTGCTGCCTCTGCTGCTGCTGCCTCTGCTGCCTCTGCTGCTGCTGCCTCTGCTGCTGCTGCCTCTGCTGCTGCTGCCTCTGCTGCTGCTGCCTCTGCTGCCTCTGCTGCTGCTGCCTCTGCTGCTGCTGCCTCTGCTGCTGCTGCCTCTGCTGCTGCTGCTGCCTCTGCTGCTGCTGCTGCTGCCTCTGCTGCTGCTGCCTCTGCTGCTGCTGCCTCTGCTGCTGCTGCCTCTGCTGCTGCTGCCTCTGCTGCTGCTGCCTCTGCTGCTGCTGCAGCTAAAAATAGCCCAGTCCTATGTTGACCTTAGCACTGTTTCACGACCACACAAGAACACAGCAGGACAGAAGGGCAGATGCAGAGGATGGGTGAGGCGAGGGAAAGTAAAAAAGGTCTAAATATGGTCTAGTTTTACAAGTTTTTATTCCATTATAGTCTTGAAGTGAGACTTTAGTCGACAAGGGAAGGATCCTTGATATCTGCGCCTCCCACGCACACAGTGGTGAGCACTGTGACTTTCAAAGATATCATTAATAATACATGAAAAGATCCTTTCTATTGTAAACATGGCCTGAGCCGTGTCAGAGAACTGTGCTGTGACATCACAAGCTCAGCCTCCAAATCCAAGGACCATGAAGAACATCTCTATCAGAGCGAAGTCTGAGGCGAACACCTGTGTGTGAAGAGACTCCAGCACAGACGTCACGCTCATGACCTTACAGCCGTGTGATCTTTGAATGTGATTATGTTGTTATGGCAACACACTGGGCACCCTGATTATAACGAAACAATTAGTCTGATCTCACTATGCTGCTTCTTCCATTGTACAGGTCTGTTGTTTGTGTTTTTTGTTAATAAAGCAGCGTTTCTCCACATCACCAACTCACCTCTCTGCAGAAGCTGACGATGTTCTCCCACAGCTCCTTGGCTTCTCCCTCGTCGTTGCGGCGCCGCGCCTCCACGTGCATGCTCTCCCTCCTCTTCAGAGGCTTGAGCACCTTGCGCAGGGTGAGGTACTGCTGGGGGGTGTGGCACGCAGCACAGTTTTTTGCCTTGTTGTCATTGAGCAGAGTACATGCGGGGCAGCCCCACTGCCCCCCCTTCTCCTGGAGGCCAGAGGCTGAGGACGGGAAGCCCCGCCCCTGTTTCCTCTTATGTCCTGAGGAGGAGGTGGCGCAGGAGCACGAGCTGGAGCCTGTGGAGTGAACGCAGGTCGCACTGCAGCGGGACAGAGGCGTCTGCGGCTCCTGAAAGCCATGCAGCTTAGAGGAGCTGCAGGCGGAGCACTTGGCGGCTCCTGTGGGGTTCCGCAGCGTGCACTTGGAACAGGCCCAGGTGCTGAAGTCTGGGCTGGAGGGGCTGGCGGGGGTGAAGCGCACGGACTCACAGCCCACCAGGTCGATCAGGTCAGCCCCGACCCGGGACGACCTGCAGGACTCACACTTGGAGGAGCTCCCTGCGTTGGACACAGAGCAGCTGGGGCACTTCCAGGAGGAGGAGGAGGAGGAGGGGGGGGGGAGGTGGGGGTGCAGAGGGTGCTCCTCTTCTTCTAAAATACTGAGGCGCTTGCTGGGGTACGCAGGCTCCTGAGGCTGAGCGTGTTTGGGTTTGGGGGGGCGCTGAGGGGCTGGCTGTGGGGGGACGATGGCCGTGGAGGGGGAGGTGGGGCTGGGGGTGCTAGTGCCAGGGTTTGGGGGGCGACCCGGAGGGGGCACCTCCCTCCGGCTGCGTGGCACAGGGTTGTTCTGTAAAGAGGAGAACGTGGCAAAAGACTGAGGAGCAGGATGTGGGGCCTCCTGAGCTTCGCAGGGGGGGGCGGGGGGAGAGTCGTCTGTGAGGTCGATGAGCAGCGGAGGTGCCCCTGCGCTGTGGCCTGGGAAACCCAGTACAGGAGTCCGCACCTCAGGCACCACCAGAGCCTCTGGGGGGATCTTGGGTAAGGAGAGCTTCCTGGGCCCCCCACAGGCCGAGCAGGACAGGGCCACAGGGGTGTTGTGCAGCGTGCAGCGGGGACAGGCCCAGCCCGAGCTCTGCACCTCCAGACGCACCACGTCCCCATTGCTCTCGGAGCGCCGCAGCATCTCCTCTTTGGCCTGGTGCGGTCCGTGCGGCTCCAGCAGAACAGTCGGGGTCACAGTGGGGGTGGGGGACTCGGAGGGGGCTGGGGGGAGGCCGTTGGCAGTGGCAGCGATGGTGGTGGGGGGAGTGGGGGGAGCCTGAGACGAGCCAAAGCCACAGACGGTGCAGGCCCCCGAGCCCTGGGGGTTGTTGAGGGTGCAGCGAGGACAGGCCCAGCGCTGCTCCTCGCCGCTGCTCAGCCTCAGGATCTGGTTCAGGTCAGGTTTTTGACGCGGCGCTTCACAGATGGAGCAGCGGGGTGCGGCGCCGGCGTTCAGGTAGGTGCAGCGTCCACAAGACCACTCACTGCCTCGCACCGCCGCTTCCATGGAGCCAGGGGAGTGGGAGTGGCTGAAACACAAGACCAACCACATTAGAACTCTACAGTGAAAATGAAATCATAATAGGTCAAACTTTTCACAAAAATACAGGATTAAGATTAGATAAGATTCATACTCCACCAAAGAGGTTCAATCTGCAAAAAACAAGTTTGTAAATACAGACAAATAACTCAAGGACTCATAATATCATAATGTATTGACTTGTTTAATGTTATACAATATACTGTTCGTTCTGAGATTTCTTTTTGCATTTAATTTATTTATTTATATTTTAGATAAATGTGTCACATCACACTCGCCTCGACAATACCACAGACAGGAAATGGGAAATAATCAGGAGGGCAATGACTAAACACTGACATTTGTACAAAAGAATCCAACTAGTGTCACGCCGCCACACAGCTGCACAGATGGAGAGCCAGGGGTCAGTTGATGTCATTTTCATAGCTGGACTAAAGTGTACAAAGTGAAGTAGTGCGAAAAGGGCGAGTTACAGCGAGCCGCCGGTGTTGAATATGGCGTGTGCCTGCGGTGAAACCAAACAGCTGTATTGATCGGAAGCCGCATATTTGGCCTTGTGAGTGGGCGAGGCTCAGTGGGATATCTCTGGAGTGCAGGGATAACCTGGGGGACAGGCATGGGCTGCTGCCTGAACAAGAACCGTAAATGTCAGTGTCTCTCAAACTGCTCATGTGTGAAGCCGCGAGAGGAGGTGAAGAGAGATAGAGTCCACTTTATAATCGGGATGGGACAAGAACTCAACCCTCAAGACCTTGTCAGATAAAATGCGGAAAATAATGAATGTTTCTGTCCTCCCGTGTGGCGATTCTTCCTCTCAAGAAACTGCAGGAAAAAACACTAAAAACACAACTGATATAAATTATAATGTTGTCTTCATGTGGGCTGGATCGGTTTTATTCACCTTTCTCTTCAACACAGGACTTGTATGTGTATGTGTATGTGTATGTGTATGTGTGTGTGTGTGTGTGTGTGTGTGTGTGTGTGTGTGTGTGTGTGTGTGTGTGTGTGTGTGTGTGTGTGTGTGTGTGTGTGTGTGCGTGACTGGGGCATTGCTACTTTACAAGATTTAGCTACTATATAATTTTCACAAGTTCCTGGGCTTAGGCAAAGAGACGGCAGGTTTTTAGTCTGCAAAGAATTAATCAATGAATAGAATAGCCTAGTTTGCATTTAAAATACAGGTAAAATGTAGCACCCTTAGCCGCAAAAATATACAATACTTTCTTTGTTATGCTAAAGCTAGAGATTTTATTGTTCACTTATCTTGTGCTGTGTGCTCCTCATTCCTACTGTTCATTCATCTCAATCTTAATACATACAATGAATACAACACCCAAGTATTTACAATCTGCAGACTCTTGACTCTTGGTTATCTTTGAGCCATGACTTCAGGCTGAGTTTAAACCGTCCCACAGAGCAGCACTCCCGCACAGACAGAGGTGAGGAGTTCCAGACCCAGATGCTTTGACAGAGAAGCAGCTCAGGCCAAATGAGAAAGAATACACAAATACAATACACTTTAGAACATCTAGTTTATCTGAATCAGTGCTGAAAACTAATTACTGAAGTTTACTTTTGTTCATTTAGCCTTTTACAGCAGTACATGGCTTCTGTTTCTCTGGTAACATGTGCAACGAGGACACTGACATTTCCCCACTGATAATATATAAACTCTCAACAATTGTAAAGCGCTTTGGGTGACCTTGGTCTGTAAAAGCCCTATTTTTTTTTTTTTTTTTTTTTACCTTTATTTAACCAGGAAATATCCCATTGAGATTAGAAACATCTCTTTTTTTTAAAGGAGAACTGGACAAGAGTTCAGAGTTTAGTTTATTAAGGACAATATGCAGTTACATTAAAAACATGGCTGCACCAAGCTACTTCCCATCTGTGGTCAATACATACAGATTACTTAGAAATATCAATGTACTTATCAGATTATGGAAAGGCATTTTTAGGAGGAAAATAGTGGTTGACTTTCCTCGACTTGGATAATAACGATCAGAAGAGTGTATTTGAAACATCTGAGAGTGTGTCCTTGCAGACCCTGACACACATGCAGTCTGTCCAGTGTGACGCACGTGTTGATGCTGCAGCGGAGCGTCGGCCAAACACCCACGCTTATAGACGCCGGAATTATTTTTTCAATTGAATTTTATGTATTCATGTCAAACCTGTCCAACAAATAAAAATAAATAATCAAATCAAATCAAAAGACCACAATAATTTAGCAGTGACAGCAGAGGGTAACCTGGCAAGAGCCAGATTGATGATTGTGTAGAACTCCAATGCGTTCTCCACATTATCAATCTGGGACTTCTGCAGGAGAATCCTTTCGGGGAAAGGAGGGATAAGCAGCAGAATACTTCAGGCTGATTGGGCGAAGTGACGCTGTGTGCCCGCCTACCAAGGTTTGACTTAAACCAATCCCGGTAACATCTTTGCCGTCCAGAAATGCACAAAGCGCCTCTCGCTGTTCATCTTTCAAAAAGGAAATTGGAGATTCTGCTAAAACTGACTTGATAGCCTCAGCTACGCGTCCGTCCTCCTGCGTAGCCATGTTTGTTTTGCTTCGGCCCGGCACATCTTGCTTTCGTCAAACCCGGATATCCCGCCCTAAACCCCCCGACTGGCGCGTGATTGGCTTGAACACCTAGATGTTCTACTCTAAAAGGGCTGGCGGGAGCGGGACAAGATGTATTCTTGAGTGTTTGTGAACTCACAAATACCGCGAGAATTCAAGGTTAAGCAGAGGGGGCTAAACGCATTAGTTTAGGATGGAAAAAAAAATAAAACGTCAGGAGGACAGACAGATGTGTACGACAGATTGTGAATAAAAAGAAATTGTGTATGTCATTATTCTTAATTATAAAACAACAACAAATAACCCCTTTTAGACCAATGGCTATGTGATTTTTTAATCTTTGGAAATTCCTGTGTTTTGATTCTCTGATCTGTGTTGGCAAATCGAAAACTTTGTAAATAAACTAGATAACTACTGTTGTGATTTAGGGCTATACAAAAATCCATTGAATTGAGTATGGAGAATAAAATGCTGTTGATGCTTGTTTTGTAACAGCCCTATAGAGATATCTCACGTGACGTCACGATGCCTCGAACTCGCGGGGCATCCGCCATACTGGAGGACAAGCAAACGCTGTATGATAGTGGCGTGCACCCGGGACCGCATAAACATGTTCCAAAATTTTTGCCGTTTTTGGCTGCAGCAAAAGGAGAGACAGGGAAAATAAGTTGTGTTACCGACTGCCAGCCGTCCTTACTTCACACGGCTCAAAAACAGAAGAAATCTCAAAGAAACGAGAGAGAAATGGCACAACCATACGCAACAACAAAAAACGAATAGCCCCCAGAGCGCCCGAATATGCTCGGATCATTTCATTTCTGTTAAGTAAAATCAATTTGATGGCGGATTTAGTGTTATTCCAAAACAAACAGAAGTTTAAGGATAAAGCATATCTGTCTGACTGCAACGTGGGGTTGCTCCATAGACTGTAGCTTAGCTTGTAGCATAGACTGTTATATATTTGGTCTCACACAGGACCTCACCCGGTTCACAGGGTATCTGACTTACCGAAGGCCATGACATGTGAACGACTGAGCCGTGCTCCAGGGTGCCCCGTACTAGTATTTATTAATAAAATATACGGCTCCTCACAGTAGACACAGAAAGCTCCATTGATTTGAATGTAATCTCATTATTTCCACTGCAGTGTAGCCACACATAGATCCATGGTGTACCAATAAACACATTAAATGTTAATCGGAGAATACATTATACATATACATTCTTAATACACGTGCACAGAGGTTTTCAGAATTTTCTGTTCACGTTTTCATGAAAAAACACTGTTTTAATGCGACAATATGCGACCGCGGTAAACCTGGATGTAACGATAAACATTAATAATACATTTTAGGATGCATTTCCAGAGGATCTGATTCATGAATTTAGGTTGAGTATATATTTGGGTCACTAACTGCTGAAGTTTCAAATTCTCTGTTTAGTTTTCATGTAGTTCGAGAGAGTTCTAGTTTTGAACGTCCAGTTATAGATAGCTAGCAGGGCTGTTACTCGCCGAGGTTGTCCTCCAGTATGGCTGCCGTGGCTGCTAGTCACGTGACCGTAGGATCCCTCTATAGAGCCCTCACATTTATTGTATTTTGTAACTTGTGTTTTTATGTATCCCCACTGGTGCTCCGTCTGCAAATTAAGTTCCTCACGCATAAATAAAGTTATTTGAATTGAATTGAATAGAATAGTTGACATGATTCCGTTGAAATGTCCTACAGCGCATTGCTCCTCTGCACTTGTGCGTCCTGGCAAAGTCCCGCCCCCTTAGTTCAACTCCATTAAACCCTTTCTACTCCGCGGATCCTGCAGACCCAGGGGAATCTTTTATAGACCCGGTACTCTGGTCTTCTGCTGCTTTCCCTCAGGTGCAGAGAGAATGACAACATGGAGAGATGCTAATGTGCCTCTGTGGCGGCCCCTGTCTCTACGTTAAAGGATAAGGAGGCTTTGTGGTTGTGTGTGGTTGTGTGTGGGTGTGTGTGGTTGTGTGTGGTGGTTGTGATGGCCCTACTGTTTTGTCTGACATTGTTAAGGCCACATCCATTTTACCGATTCTAATAGACGCTACAGCCGTCAGCAGACTCCCGGGAAAGATGCACGCAGGACTCGTCTATGAATCAGATCCTTTCGGTTTGTTGTTTGAAGAGACACGTGTGGGTTTAGCGCGGACATAAATTCAGCAGTGAGTTCTTGTGCCGAGAGACAGATAATACTTCACGCTCTCTCTCTCTCTGTGTGTGTCTCTCTCTCTCTCTTGCTCTCTCTGTCTCTCACTTGCTCTGTCTCAGTCTCTCTCTCCCTCTCTCTTGCTCTCTGTGTCTCTCTCTCGCTCTCTCTGTGTTATGTCTCTGCCTCTCTCGCTGTGACCCTATTGCTCTCTGTTTCTCTGTGTGTGT